ATCATTATCATTATCAATATCATCATTATCATCTATATTAACATTATCATTATCAATATCATCATTATCATCTATATTAACATTATCATTATCATTATCATCTATATCAATCATTATTATCATTAACATCTATATTATTATCATCTATATCATTCATTTATAATCATGATTTTTTTTATCATGCATTGGAATCTTACTCAGAATACAGAATAATCTATATCATTATCATTATCATAATTATGATTATTATTATTATTATGATTTTTTTTTTTTTTTTTTTTTTAATCATGCAGTGGAATCTTACACTCAGAATACAGAATACGGAAACCAGGTGTAATATCCGAGTTACCTAGCAAGCATCGGCAGGGTCAGCGTCTGCGAATATTCAGGTTCATCGGTGACACTGGATTTGCACAATGCTCTCTGCCACTCTTCCAACTTTTGCGTGTTCTCCCTTTCGTATATTTCTGTGGTTTCTTGGGGAGTGTCAAGTCTGAGCTCTTTCAACGAAAAAAGAAAGTATATTTGTATTAATTTCATAATAGTCGAAGTAGGTATAAAGTCGGTATTTGAATATATTTGAACGGATAATATTTGGCTATTTTGGTCTGTGCGCTGTTCGTCTGCTTCCATGATTCTCTTTCTCTCTCTCTCTCCCTCTGTTCTTTTTCTCTTCTCTCTCTCTCTCTCTCTCTCTCTCTCTCTCTCTTTCTCTCTCTCTCTCTGTCTCTCTTCTTTCTCTTCTCTCTCTCTCTCTCTCTCTCTCTCTCTCTCTCTCTCTCTCTCTCTCTCTCTCTCTCTCTCTCTCTCTTCTTCTCTCTCTCTCTCTCTCTCTCTCTCACTATTTTCCTCTCTCTGTTTCTTTTTTCTCTTCTCTCTCTCTCTCTCTCTCCTCTCTCTCTCTCTTCTCTCTCTCTCTCTCTCTCTCTCTCTCTCTCTCTCTCTCTCTCTCTCTCCTCTCTTCTCTCTCTCTCTCTCTCTCTGTCCTTTCAATATCATCATCAATAATCATTAAATCATATATGACCTGAACTGCCACTTTTTCAGCCTTCATTCTCGGACCAACCTTCAGGATGACCTTTTTGAAGCAGTGTGTCACGTGACCCCCAGAACACTTCTCTCACTGGCAGTCGCAAAATACTTAAGGAATTTTGATATCACTTATTTAGGGCCTTTTGGACCTTAAGCAAGTAATGGCCATTGCTCTCTCTTCTTCTCTCTCTCTCTCACTCTCTTTCTCTCTCTCTCTCTCTCCTCTCTCTCTCTCTTCTCTTCTCTCCTCTCTCTCTCTCTCTTTCTCTCTCTCTCTCTCTCTCTTTCTTTCCATCTCTATACTTTTCTCTCACCCACTCTTCCACTCTCTTTTTCTTTTCCCTCTCCCCATCTCTCTCTCTTTTTCTCTTCCCTCTTTTCTCCTTTTCTTCCCCTTTCTCTATTTTTTTTTCTCTTTCCCCTCTCCCCATCTTTCTCACTTTCTCTTTCCCTTTTTTATCTCTCTCTATTTTCCCTTTCCCTCGTCTCTCTTTCTCTTTCCTATTTTTCTCTTTTTTCTTTCCCTCTCTCCATCTCATTTTTCCCTTTCCTTCTCTCCTCTCTCTCTCTCTCTCTCTCTCTCTCTCTCTCTCTCTCTCTCTCTCTCTCTCTCTCTCTCTCTCTCTCTCTCTCTCTCTCTCTCTCTCTCTCTCTCTCTCTCTTGTCTTTCCCAACCCTTTCTCTCTTTCTCTTTCATTCTTTTTTTTCCTTCCCTCTATTTCTCTCTTACAAACCCTCTCCTCTCACTCCCTCTCGTTTTCAACTTGAATACATCAGTTTTAGAACAGAAAAATATAATAATCAAATCAAGACCAATACACATTTCTTATCAATACATGAATGATATTGAACGTTGTTGAGGAAATGCAGTACATACCGGTTCGTAACAGGGTAACTGGGCCCCCATTCACCATACTGTACAGGATGATCGAGCCCGTGGAAAGCACGATTGAGAGTAGAACGCATTTTTGGCGTGTCATGCACAAAGACATTCTGAAAGCATGATATAAAGATGAAGACAGAGTTTCAAACTTTGAGAGATATATTCATGTGATACTTGTATAGGTAACTTCAAATAAAACACATTATTTTTTGTCATGCACACCGACCTAACATTGTAGCAGACACTGACACTGTTCCCACTGAACCGTTAACCCCCGTAATGCATGGCAACCACACGTTAATACTGCCTTGCCAACCCTCCTACCAAACCATTTAGACTGAAAAATTGCTTGGATATATTTTCCCAGCCATGCAATTACTTCTCTCAATATTTTTTTTCAGATGTCCCCTACGAACACGTTTCTCCTACAGAGTCACAACTCCATTACCACGCGCTGACACAGGCAGAAACACGGAAATAGTCGAATTCCACGTTCCAAACATACACTGGATTGCTCTGTGCCCGACGCCGATCTCCTTGAGGACTGACACCAATTACAGTACAGCGAAATTTCACGAGTTATTCTCCAAGGGGATTACTTCTCTTTGCGTGCTTTGCGTGAGTGTGCTTATCACTCGCTGTCTCATCTGGTGTTCCTTAAGGCATCGTCTTAGACCACCACTCTTCTTAGTAAACGCAGACACATCAAAATATTGGGAAGACACTTGAAAAATCTATTTCTGTTTTGGAAAACACAGGGTACACGCTGAACCGAAACAAAGCCTTAAATAACTTGACCAACACACGACGCAGCCGGAGACTAGCAGCCATAACATCACATAATTAGCTACCTTTCAACACGAGCTGACTGCATCAGCATGTCAACGGAAGATACAGACGCATGTATGAATGCACACAATCTATCAATCTATCCATCTAAATATATATGTATGTGCACACACACACATATATGTGTGTATGTATTTACATACACAAATGCACACACATATATACAGTATATGTATATATGTACATATATATATATATATATATATATATATATATATATATATATATATATGTAGTGTGTGTGTGTGTGTGTGTGTGTGTGTGTGTGTGTGTGTGACGTGATTTTTTATTCATATACAAAATAACATGTACTATTACTAAGGGCGTCATCTTTTTCCCAAACATGGACGTCAGGAAATTGGGAGAGTGACGTCACAGATTGTTGATTTGCCGGCGTCAAAGGTATACACTCCGACAAATCACATCCAGAACGTGAATATAATCATCGCACTCGGCAGCGGGAAAGTGGGCATATTTTCACTTTCCCCTGCCTTGATTCATTCATCAGTTGCCTGTTACAGTGAACATAGAGCAACAACAATACAATTACTCAAATATATCAAGCGATTACATGCAAGACATTTCGATTCTTGATAAAAAGAAATATGCATTCATCGCACTTCGCAGTTCGCGCCGTAGCAGTGCTGTCGAGATGTCGGACTGCAATCACATGATAAAATACTCGCTCTTTAAAGACTTACAGTCAAAATAACATTCACAGATAATCTAATACTATAATTCCTCTGAGTTTCAATCTATATAAGGTATATACAACATATAAGACGCTTTGTTTTGCATATTCTATTAATTATTTTCGGGACGCACTGTTTAATACTGGAAATGGTACAGATTTACATCGAGTTTTCAATTTGTTTGAGGTTGTGAATTATATTTTCCTTGAAATATTGATCCAAAGAGATATGAAGGTTATAAGAGTACAACCAGCACTAGTGTCTGTCACCTGTTCAGCGATGTACTTCCTGTATTAATCAAAAATAAATTATTCTAACTGGCATCTAAAGGATCCTGAGGAAGAAGTACTGTCATCTGCGCAGAAGTAAGTCTATTCTCGACCAGATGATAGGTTCCGCCTAACAAAACAGTCCCAAACCGCTGCCTACCAATGCAACGTGATTTTTCCTTCATATCCAAATGATATGTATTCTTACTACATTTACTAATGATCACCTTGTCATTATTGTCAATATTGATTTGGGGAACGTGACTTTAACGATCTTGAGGCTCGTGTGGTGGACTGAATTCATTTCTCTGTTAAGTGTGTGTCAATTATTATAACGGTCGTAAAACCTTTTTTAACAATTAGCAATATATTTAATAAACAAATAATAGTGAACAGCTGCCATATCATGATGTAAATAGCAATAAATATTATATAAACAAGCAATATTCTCTGCAAACTTAATTTACAGCTAAGGTTAACACTATACCCTCCTTTTTCCTACTAATTATAAATCAATAATCATTTTCATAAACAGAATTACAACACACATGAGACCAAATTGACACACACTCATACTACCAGTATATTTCCATGGATTTACTTTTTCATAAGTTAATCATTCCCCTTGCTTTTCATCTTCATATTTTCCTTACACTTTACTTTAATAAATAGTTCCACTCTCAAACTATTCATCGATAGCACTGTAACTGTCACCAATGACTAACTCCATTACTGTATCCACGGGCCAATAAAATAACTAAATAAATTATCATTATTCCCTAGCAACAATGCATTATGGCTTTGTTCTCGCTGCAATTTCTCAATCATTTCTTCTCTCTGTGTAAGGGAGGAGAGCAAATCGCCATTCTTATCATCACAATTCAACACAGGGATTCCATAATTATGTTAATCCGCTTATTAAACATTTCAGCATATTAGAATAAATCACCATTTTTTATACTAGCGCTGTGCAAGAGAAGCCAGGACTCTTCTGACGAGAATTCGTTAAATAACGAATTTATTCCTCTCCCCCAAATGAATTACTAACATTTAAACAAACGAACCATCTATAAATGATTATCATAATTTACTTAATTTGTTATAGCACTAAATTTTGCTGTATTGATATCTCATTAGAAATATAATATGTAATCAAATGTTTCGGTGACGTACATACATCTTTGAAATTAAAACTAACGCACCTTTTTAAAAGTCGAATAATTGTGCGTGTGTGTGTATGTATATATATATATATGTATATATCTGTACATTTGTTTGCGTATATGTATATTATATACATATTATGTATATATACATATATATGTATATCTATATATATATATATGTATGTATATATATACTTATGCATATGATATATGTGTGTATATACATACATATATATATATATATATATATATATATATATATATAATATATATATATAATGTATATATATATATATATATATATATATATATATATACATATATATATATATATATATATATATATATATATATATATATATATATATATATATATGATATACATGTGTATACATATCCATATATATATGGATATATATACATAATATATATATAATATATATATATATATATATATATATATATATATATATATATATAGGGCCGGTCATCGTGACGTCAACAGAGCTGTCACGTGATCAATCGGAGGCAGTGGTGGGTAAAAACAACAATAAAATCCCACGAACTTCGTTATTAAGTATTGGTCTGTTGCGAAAATCGTCCCTTTTTTCTCGATTTACATAAGATTCGCATCCTTTTTCATCCTTCTCTAAGAAACATGGGAAACAGTTGCAGTATTAATGGATGTGCAAATGGACAGTTTTCATTGTTTTCCGAAAGACCCCGAGAGAAGGAGGCTTTGGCTATCAATCGCTAAAACTTTGATCCTGCACCTGGGAGTGATGTAAGAGTTTGCGCTAATGGTACGTACGATAGCTTTTCTATAAAGATAATCAAAAAATTTAAAGTTATGTTATATCATAACTCATTCTAGGGGATGTATTTCCCCGTGGTTAGGCTTAGGCCTAGGCGGTGGTAGATGTTTCAGTTAACTTTATATTACAACTTACCCTTAACAAAGGTCGTAAAACATTAAACGGGAATAAAATGAAGATAGTAAATCTAATGACTACTACATTTCCCTCTCAACAGCTTCAGGAAATTTGCTTAAATCTTTTCAACGCATCATGATGAGTATTGCATGGGAATGTAAATTTAACCATTTAGAAAAGTCGCTATAACGTCCGAAAAGTATTGATAAAACCCCTGTTTTAAGCAGCTATTCGAAAAAAACAGGCCTAAAAGGCAAAGAGCGAACAAGAAAAAAAATCACAAGTTCAGAATTTAATCCTACGACTACGAACCAGTCTTATTATAAACAGCATTGAGTACTTGCTTGTACCCTTCCAGAGATGTGTTGGCCTCTGATTTTTGTATGTTGTATGTATAAACACCAGGTTATTTGTATAAAATACAGATACAAAGAAACCGAAACATCAGGCCATCCTGTGGAGCTGTCTGACCAAATATCCGATAAAGAATACGGTTCATGGTAACCTTTCTGTACCCTTGGAATTACGGGTTTTATTTACGTCTGTTTTTCGCCGCCGAATCCAGATTTATGATGCACCGACATGTTTCTCACAGCTGACTCTTGCGCATAACTATGTGATTTTTTGTTTGGTCGACCGACTTTTATACGCTCGGTCAACCAAAAATTAGTATGGCCCAGCTAATACAGATAGCTGTATTCTGATTTTTTCTTATGTTGAATACCAAATTCCATTATCCTGTTTTGTTTCAAAACTTAAGAAAAATACTTACTTGAAAGCTTCGAGTGATTTGTATGCTTTCAACTCCTCTTCAGCGTAACTATCCGGCGTGTGTATTAGGTAGAGATAAATATCATCAAAACTAACATGGGCAAACGATTGGGGCTTTCAGACCAGCCATCAGAGAGAGAGAAAGGATCTGGTAAGCTTTCTGTACCTTTAGAATACTTAGGTTTTTCATTATAACGTTTTTTAGCAACTAAATCGAGATATTTGTAGTAGGTTCACATTGTTCCCACCGTTGATTCAGCGGCCATTGTTGATCTTTTGCCCACCAGTGTTGTGCGCGTGCGCGAAAGTTTTGATGACCGTCCCTATATTTACATGATATGTATATAATAAACATATGCACCAACACATGTATAGATACACACACACACACACACACACACACACACACACACACACACACACACACACAC